GCTCTGCAACAGGAAAGCCACCAATTTTAACACCTTAACCAGCCCTACGAAGGGACATTTATCAGAATTACATTTTTGATACAGCAGCTAATAGATACCACCACAACAGGCATCTATTACAGTAGCCATTGCACCTTTGAAATGACCCTGTCAAGCATTGCTGCAGCTACTGATTATTTTTGCTAAAATAATTTGTCATTTATTATTTTCAATTAATTTATTTAAAAAATTGTAATATAAAGTGTGCTCCATTGGAGACTATATGGAAACGGCTCTCCATAAAACTATGCCACTTTACAGATTTGGCATATTATAGAGTTTGTATAAGCCACCCATGTTGATTTCTAAAGGAGTTGATTATTTCTATACTTTTTATATATTCCTTTATCACTATTAATTGTTTCAGCCATAGTGTAAAGCTTAGGTCAGTTAATAAATCACTTCATAGAAAATGTCTTCAAAGCTGCAACATATTTTACAGAAAAGATTTTAGATTGCAATGTGATTTTATTTTAAATACATGTATTCAACTCAACTATGTAATGATCTGGGGAACCTTTTTCATCGAGTTTAGGGTTTCATTTTTCAGGATGTAACATTTCTATGGGTTTTGCTTGTTGCAGTTCTAAAGAAGATGAAAGTCAGCTGCCTGAAGTGATGTCCCAGCTTCTAAGACCCAACATCCTTTTTGGCACTTTGGCTCACAGAACAGTCTCTTTCAGACTGTTTTTAGTCTTTATCATTGAATCTGGTTATTGAAAGACCACAAAGTAAGTGTATTTTTACAGTCCATGCTGCTATTGTGTGGCATTCAAAGCAGGAACAGGAGAAGCATTTTTTTAGTCCTGTTTGTCACGAGATCACCCTAGAAGCCTTTATTCTAAGCTGATTTCTTTGGCATAAAGTCTGACGTACAGTGTTTACTATGATCCAACCCTCACTATGCTGGGGCAGCCAAACCTGCACAGCATTAACACTTTGTGTACATTACCTGTTTTGTAAGACTACAAAATAGCCTGGTACATACTTTCCATGGGCAGGACTGGGTTTCCATATTCCAGCTTTCGAGACACAACTGTTGTACCTGAGAAGTCTTGGCCAAGACTTGGGTGTGTGTCCACTTTTGTAATTATTGTGGGTTTGCTCTTACAAATGTCTGCTTTTGTCATCTAGTTGTAAAGTGTTTCCATTTGCCTCCAGGGCCTCTGTGGTAAGAAACCATAAGTCTCAACGGCCTGCAAAAAATAAAGCGACATGTCTCTACCTGCCCTGTGAGAAACTCTTGAAGCTGAGGATTGGAGATCAACTCTGTCATCATTCGAACACGTCAGTGCTATAAATACCAATCCTTTTGATCAACATGTAGGCTGAGATGATGACAACACAATAAACCGATGAAGCAACATTCAGGAGGAAAAAATGAATAAACTCCAACTGTCCCACCTGTACTATAGTCCTGATTTTATAACAGCATACAATCCGGAAATTATCTAAGTTGACAGAAAAATACTGAAGTCATGAACTGAAGGGGAGTCCTGGTGATTAGTGAAATTAGTGAAAATGGTGGAAAATCACTTTCCTTCCTGTCAGACACAAAAGAACAGATGACATGAGTTAAAGCATGTTTAAAGAAAATTATGTCATTGTGTCATGACCTATTGACTCATGGAAAAAAAGTTAACCTTTTTTCCCACAACGACTGTTTTCATGTCTGACTCCATAATGTCTCAAATTCAGATTTGAAACTCCCTTTTAAGGAGAATATTTTCATAATACTCAGTTTTGGCTCATTTTCTGTTCTGAATTTGTTGTTTTTCAGCTAATGTCATGTTTTACTCCAGTAAACTTCCAATTACTAAATTACTAAAGGCAATTATTTCAATAATCGATCATGATTAATCCACATATTTGCTTCCCTCCAATATAAATGTACTTAAAAGTCTTAAGCTACTGATTGGATAATTTCAAGATTAAAAACCAGGTTCAAGTCCAAGCCAAGACCTGCAGATCGTGATAATGTGGCTCTGCTTTTACCAATAGCTGCCTCTGCTCTTAGAGTCCCTCCAACATTAGATAAATTTACAACTAACTGATGTTTTCAAAATTTTCCCTTTGCTTTTTATGACTATTTCCTGCTTAAAGATAATTAAAACACTACATTTGAGATCAGAATATTACATCCAACCAAAAAACAAAAACATTGTAATACAGAAATATGGGCCTAATGAAAAGCGTGTTAGAAAGGATGACTTTTTCAATGTTATTTTTAATCTTATAAACAAGTCTCAATGGAACAAATATGATAACCTATTTAGTATAGGTGTCTATTAGAAAATATCAACCAAAGGGGCATTACAAAAGTAACCCTTTTCTCCCTAACTGTTTAAAAGTCATAGTTTAAATTGGCCAAGGAGACTGCTAACATTCACCTGTATCTCTATTTTTTTTCTTCCTTGGATAATTTGCATTCCTACTCCGATCGGCCTCACCATCTGCTGTTCCATCCCATATCACCTCTAAACAGAGACACCAATGTATGCAACCTCCTTGAATAACTGGTTTGTGTACCTCTTTATTTTCAGAACCAGACTTGAATGCACATGAATTAGGATTCCCACAACAGTCTGGTGTCTAAGCTCTGGATCAGTGTGTCTGAAAATAGTCGGATGCAAACGGTTGCCTCTATTGTTTGTGGGACACATCCCAACACGCAGCTCCGAGGTTTGACTGTGCTGTGGTTTGGAGGACATAGCACATGTAGAGGAGTATCATTCCAAATGATAATTGATGCATAAAAAACACCACCCACGGTGACTTAAAATACAGCCACATTCTTGCCTGGTAGGTCATTAAGTTGAAAAGTTCTTAAAAGACTTTAACTAACCAGAATAATCGGAGTGATGAATGCTTTTTTTTCTGGAGCTCTATTCCGTGTTTGAGTTTCATGCTTTGTGTGCAACTCCAAGCATTTGTTTGCGCTTCAGGTGCCATTATTTCCTTTGGTCTCTTTGTGCTGTAAGAGCCGACAGAGGAATGCTCTGTTTGTTACTTTGCACTGTCATCTTGTTCCTGTAAAGTGACCTCAGTCTGAGCTGGAAACATGCTGGTCAGACTGTATAACTGTACCCAAATCACAAAGAAAAGTATTAAAATAAGTTCTGAATCTGATACATTTTGCACAACTTTTAGACGTTTCCCGAGCATAGCACCCAATGCTGAGTAGTGAGTTTTCACCCTGGAGGATGCGCTCTGTAAATTTTCAGTAAATTTAAAGTGCAAATTCCAATTTGAACCTGTCAGTACAATTTGATTTACTTGACCAAAAGTTAATTAAATGACCCCTTGATTTAACTACTGGTTGTGTTACGCTTTACTGCAACACCTGTCATCAAGCCTTTGTAATGATTGCCGACGAGGTTTTTACATTGCTGTGAAGGAATTTTCTTGTCTTTTTCTTCTCGTTAATCTTCCATCACAGTTTTCTGACAGAGCAGAATTTTTCATTGTATCATTTACAGCAATATGTACCATGCTTAACCGTAGATGGGATATTTTTTTGATTGTGGTGTTAGTTTTAGGAGAGAAGTAACAGGATGTGCATCCCTTAAAGCATTTAACAAGTTCACAGGATAAGATTTTGGGATTAAGTATTTGCTTTTTGGAAAATATGGGACACATCATGTTCAGCAGAGGGGTTTGTTAGAAACATTTCTAGAAAATGCTTTATATTTCCATGGTTTTTATATAAAGTATAAACATAAAATACACTTTGTAATAGAGATAACTGGATGGTGTAGATGTTGCCTGTGTTTTCTCTGGATCTCCAGAAAGAACTTTGGTAGGTTTGTCACTTGTGTTTTATGCATTTACAAGGAATTTGACTTGGTGTTGACCATGCAGAGAAATCAGAGACATATACAGAATACAGGATATATACAATAAACAGGTATATACAATATAAAACATACAATATACTATTTATCTACCTTATATATATAAGGATGGGTAGAAACTGTTCTTTTGGAGTGAGGATTTGGTCCTGCACTGAAAAAAATAATGCAACCGTTTTTGGCATTTACTTAATCATATTTAGTTACTTTACTGTCAAGTAACTAAATATGATTCAGTAAATGCCAGATGTGGTTGCATTATTTTTTTCAGTGGACCGCAGCATCCTGCCAGAGGGAAGTGACTGAAATAGTTTATGGCTCGGGTGCGCTGGATCAGCCACAATCTTCCCTGCATGCCTCAGAGTCCTGGAGGTGTACAGATTCTGGAGAGATGGAATATTCTAGCCAATAGCATTTCCCTCTGGTTCTCTCTGGTTCTGGTTTTGCTGCAGCTGCAATGGGCTTGAGTTGTTGTGACGTAATTCCCCACTCCTAAATCGACTTCCGGGAAATAATTAAATACTGAGCTGCACCTTGGCCCCTCATAGTAGTTGATACTCTATTTATAAAAATGGCTCATTGTTTGTACAGGTCAGTTTAATAATAACAATAAATAAATAAATACCGAGAAAAATAGCTGACATACTGACGGAAATTTAGCCCATAATACTTTTAAATAAGTAAAACGTATAAATCACAACAAAGACAACCATATTTTTTGCCCACTAGTCGCATATTTAGTGCCTCTAAAATCACAGTTTGTTTCCACTGCTTTGTAATGTGAGCAGCCTCTTTAAACCGGCTCAGTCAGGCGTTTAACTTTTCTCTCTTAATAATTTAAAGGGAAACTCGACACCTCCATTGGTGGCAGCGTGTCTCTTTGTATTACATGATGTTATTCTTCATACTTTAAATTTTCTCTGCTTGGACCTGGGAGCTCCTTGTTCCAGAACTTGCTCTACCGGTGGCTGCAGCTTTTTCTGGGCCCTCCCTTTACAGTCCAACCCGTTTTATTTCTGTTCCCTATTTGGCTGTTTCGGTCCGTTTGCTGGGCGGGTCTATATGTTTTCTGTCCCACTCCCACTGTGACGCGCTGAGAGGAGTTATCGTCATTCCACAGAAAAGCCAGCGTGGGTTAGAGCGAGACACACTGTGGAAGATCCGCGGAGAAAACAGCGGTGTTCCTTTATTTATTTCTATTTTTATTTTGTGCTGTAGAGGTTATTTATTAAATCTAAGAGGAAAATGAGCGGAGTGACGAGAAGTCTTTGCACCATTGAGGACATCAGAAACAATGAATATGCTGTAAGTTACTTCAAACATTATTTCAGACAGTTTACAACTTTATTTATATATGTTTAATACCCTCTGTGGAAAAAACTAGTCTTTTTTTACTTCTTTTCTTTTACTCCTTTTCTTTTTTCATACCTTTTTGTTTTTTTCCTAAATCAGCTGCCTTGATTTACATTAAGTGCTTTAATTACTGTAAGGTAATTAAAGCATTAGGTCAGAATTAGTCCAGATAACATCCTTGCCTGTGACAGGTGCCTTCTGGTCACATAGTGGAAGAGCTTACATTTCCAAGCTGTTGTGACAGACAGAGAAGGCAGCCCAGGTTGTGCACTTTGTCCACCACCTGTGCAGAGACGGATTAAAAAGCACACTAAGTTTGCAGCTTCTGCTTTGCTGAATGTATATTTTTAATTGCTGCAACTCTTGTTCAACATCAGTGAGGGGAATATGCTCTTCGCTCAGGGTGTGTTTTTGTCAGGGGGAAGCTGGAGTATCCTCAGTAAAAAAAAAAAATTATGAAGTTATAGGCATATATGGTTCAAATTAAGTGAATATTTATATGTCCAGTTAGGAAGTGGGTGCATTATTACTAGAGATTCCATAAAATACAATTTAAGATATACCTGAAATCATTTATGCATTAAAAAAGGTAAAATTGATTTTTTTTTTTTTTTTACTTTTTTGGGCATTAAGCCTACATGAAGATTATCCAGTTCTTTTTATGAAATAATGATCACTGATTGGGTTCTCATTGCTAGAAACTCTTGGTTTAATAATTTACCTCACCCTGGAAAAACAGACTACTTAGCAGCACTTTGTTTTACGAGGTTGCAGAGTAACCTGACATTTTCACCCTTCATCTTCCACCTTAGCGCTCTCCCGCTGAGCTCCCATCAGCCCAAGCTTCATAAAGCTTTCACCTTTTTTTTCCCTTTTTTTCATATTTCTTCAGTGTGGACTAGACTGATAATCTGTCACCTTACTTGCAGAAGTATATCTAACAGAGAGACCAAAGTGTAACAAGGGCAGCACCTCTCACATATATAATAAACCGATAAACTGCACAGAGGAATGCGTACAGCTCCAATAAAGCCTGTGTTTATTCAGGTCGCTTTCAATCTATCAGTCATTACTTTTTTGAAAAAGGCAACTCTGCCTTAACGTCACACAGAGCACAAGTCAGCCCTTATCAAAGTTTAATTCAGCAGGCAAATAATCAGCCGCCTGCAGTATTTACATATCTGAACTCTGATGTGTTTATTGGAGGTAAGGTAAGAGAAAGTTTCAAAGTGGCTGCACTGAACAGAAATGTTAATAAATGGTGAGGGGTGAGCATTATTTTCATAAGTACCTAAACTACACATTTATTCAAAAGCATAAAACAAAAAGGACTGGCACACATTTTGAAAGAAAAAACTTCTCCACAAAGTAACTATTGAATTAGATTCTTCCGTTTAAAACTCCTCCCTATGTCCTTTATTTTGTCTAGTGAGTCTTTTTTTTTTTTTTATCATGCCCCCAGAGGTTGCAACCTCCCAGTTGAGCACATTCCCCATGTCTCTCCTCATTATTTGTCAGGAGAGACTGACATCACTGACTGGGAATGGGGCAAACATGACTTGCACTTATCTGAAATATACCAGAGCTCACCTGGTTTACTTAGAAAGTGAGGATTTTTAAGAGTGTTGTTAAATATCAAGTGTCTCTGTGTTACACTTTGTCCTGATCCCACAGCTTCTTCTCCAATTACATGAAAATACATGTTTGTTTGTAAACAACCTGTCAAGGTGTCACATGATGGCAAAGCAGGAACTAACAACCCAGCTTCCTGCGTCACTGTTCCGCTCATTTGGCATTATAGAAAAACCTTTCATTGTGTGCTTTACTGTGTGCATCAGTCAGATGGGAAAACTATATATAATGGCGTCCCGAAAAAACACTTAGGAATAGATCAACATAATTAAATGTTAATTATCTATTAATACAGATCTCAGGTCACTAAGTGGCTTTATAAATTAGCTAAATGTCCAAATATCTTACATAGATCATCTGATCAGATCACCTTTCTGTAGTAGATTAAACCTAATCAGCCAGTAACTGTTTTATTGAAAACTATTTTTATAGCCCATAAAAGTCTAGAGGAATAAAATCATATATTAATTCACTTTAAAAGCAGAATAGGATTGATTGGTAAAAAAAAACAAAAAAAATGTGTTACTAATATTTTAAAACAAATTTAAACAATGAGTTAAATAATTCTCATTTTAAACCATGCAGCTTTGATGTCTTTACTTAGCAATTAGAAATGTTAGCCCAACTAGCATTGCAAAACAAAAGTTTCTTTGTCATTTCCTTTAAATTTTAGACCCGTATGTGAACTGTGACATATTCAAATCGCCGCCTATTTCTACATCTGGCATTTCCCGCTGCAGGCAGAGATCGGCAGCTAAAACAAATAAAATGTTTCCTCTTTTCTACAATTCACTTCACCTTACTGTTTTCTACTGAAAGTCTCTCTCTCCTGATCTCTTGCTGTCTGGGAAAAACAGATGCTTCTCTGTATGATGCAGAAGAACTATTTCTACTTAGAACTATTTCTAAGTAGCTTCTTACTCTGCTTTTCCGAGTTATTGAATCACCCACAGATAATTAAAGCTGACTTTGACTCTTCCTTCTTCAGTAACAGCATTGTTACCGAAGAGTGTTGTCCTAATGACTTAGTTGCGCCTTTACTGTTTAGATTTCAGAGAACTGGTTAATTCCAGTCAGCATTTAGGATGGTTCAGGAACTTCAAAGGTTTGACTTTAGCCTTTGAGGCACTTCATCCACTAAGGGTGTGTTAATGAGGGCATTTATTTTACTGAGAAGACTGATGTTCTCTAAATAAAGCATGAGTTGCTGTCAGGCCCTGAAAGTTGCCGTAGGAGCTTTGATTCTTAGTTTTGTTGACTTACCTTTTTAATCAAACATTTCCTGAATTTTCTTAGAAATATCTCAGAGGTTAATTATTCTCTATTGGACAAAAAGTCTTTCTTGGTGCTCATATGAATGTCAACAGGGATGCTGATGAAAGAGCATCCCTCTTTGAATTGTTATTATCCTTATTTGAGTTTTGTACCAAAGGTTCAGGTAAAGGATCAGTGCCGGGATTTGATGAACCTGAAAAGATCATTAATTCACCTGCGGCTGATTTGGTGGATTATACCTGTCGGCTCATAGCTGAATTTATATTGTTGTTAGAAAGGAGACAAATGGGACATCTGTGCAACATGAGTGCAGGACAGACCAAAGATTTGATGCATGTTGACGTGTGCAGACAAAAGCTTTCCCTTTTCTTATTATGTTTTGGTATGTAACAGAGATCTTTAGGAGTTATGGTGGCCGGGTACATTCCCAGGTGTCTTCCCGCTCCTCAGGATGTTTACCTCAGATGATTTACATCCCTGAGTCCAAAACAAAAGCGTAGTCATGTCCTTTCGGCGTGTCCTGATCTTTTGTCCTCATTCAGGTACATTCTGTGTGGTCTCTGTGTCTGAGCTCAGGTTCATGTTTCTTTCAGTGGCCAGAAGCTAATGCGCTCTGCTTGTGTTTGCGTTGAAGCAGCTATTTGCGGTTCCCATCCAGCTGCTCGCTTTTGTCTGAGTTCATAGGAGGGCTAGTATTACAGCTGAGGGATGGAGAGCATTTTTTCCATGGCTGTGGAAATAAAAAGAGATCAGACAGGAAGGCTACCGTGTAAATGGCTCGTTCCAGGATGAGGATTATCAGAGGCGCTGGGGTTGTTGCACAGGGATGCATTCCTTCTTAACAAGTGTCTCACTGTTCCACACTTTGTCAGAGCCCTCCTCTATTCTCCTGACTTCATCAGTGCTCCCCAGCAGAGCTTTTAGATGCCTGCAATCCAAGTGGAAAGGATGTGTTGAGCAACAGGAGGTATTTACCTTCATGATGGTTCATTTGAGCGCAATTTATCCAGAGCCTTTTAGTTTTACCATGTATTTTCACCCCTTACTGCCTTTTCTTTTTATTACTGTTGGAACAGATAAGCAGCAAATTGAAAGGCTCTGCCAACAAAGCTTCTCTTTTATGACTGCTCCTTATCTTGACCTTACATAAAGACTTTATTAGTTGCTAAAAACAAGAGACAGGGGAAACAGGGTTTCCCTATAAAGCCACGCCTAAATTCACAATGGATTTAATTAAAGAAATTTGTCTTTTATGTTTACCTTTGTTTATGCTTAACAAAGAGAGCAACATCGACTGATAATCACAGGTCTCCATAAACAACAGAAAGCATTAAAAAAGCACTTAAAGTAATCTTGTTTACTGGATATCATACTATTAGAGATAGACTGGTGTTTTTTAATAACTTTACTGATTCATTTGTCACCAGTCTAACTAATCCCTGTTCTGTGCTGCCGGTATTACTTTTCCTGCCTCCATTTACATAAAATGGCATAAAAATAAATGTTACATTCGTTGCAATTTAAACAAAAAGAAAAACAGATCTGTATTAAAAACTTAAACAAAACATGAATTTGTAGCAAAAGGAGGGGAGTTGCAATGCTTGCATTCAACATGATCTGAAGTCATTGCAGCTGAATGCACTTTTGACTTAACTTATGCATGCACCCATCGGCTGATACAGGGAAGAAAAATGGTAATGTTGGCCAAAAATATCAGGCGGTCTGTATATCTCTACATTCTATGATTTATTGTCGAGAGCCAACAGAAAACTAAACCTAAGTATCTTTTAATATCTAAAAATCACTCATTCTCTGTTTTGAGATATTCCCTTTGTGTTTGCACAGTCAGCTTTTAAATTTTAGTGCATAAAATATAATTCTCACAGATTTTTGCAAAATAAAAAGACAAGAAAAAAAAACATGTTATGGTATTTTTTGTCCAAAAAAAACCTAGATGAGTTTATTGGTTCTTGCTCCCACTATACGAATCCCACCCCTAATATGAAAGACAAAAAGCAGGACTTATGTAACTTTCCAAGCTGTTGCAGACGGTAAAACAAAGAAAACACAGCAAAGCTTGACTATTAGCCCTGACCAGCTAAGGCACTGGGAAACAAATCACAAATAATTAAATACGATCAGTGGATTCCTCATAGTTTGACTGTTAGCGCACAAAGACAGACACCAAAGCAGAACATTCCTCAAATATTTGCCATTAGTAGAGCTATTAATGAGGCTCTGTTTCTGTGTTAGCCTTTCAAACTTCAGACGTAATTTTGATATCCTGCTGTATTTATCTTTGATAATGAATTCAACAATAGACACAAAAAAATCAAACATGCCGTGTCGGCTAGAGACACTTATGCAATGTCTGTGACCTCTTCCCTCACATCCGTGGAGTTAACCATTGACGTCGACCAAGGATCGCTTTAGGGGGGCTTTCCTTGTGCTGGAAAGAACACCCGCCCAGTAACATCCTGCTCCAGATATTTCCCACTAAGAAGTTTCTTTCACATTCCTTTTACCGTGGGTTGATCATTCAGCTTAAAATGAATGTATATTTTTTCAGATTGTTTAGTCAAATCATTTGATTTAATTTTGTACTATGCAGCTTTAGACAGCTGCACAGAATTTCATGATTAATAGTTTATGGATTTATAGCAGATGAAAGGAAAAAGAAGAGAAACCAGTTTAGTAAAAAAGTGCAAAAAGGTCATTCTCTGTTGTTTAAAAAGGACATAGAATCTGTGTCAGATTGATGATGATTATAGTTTCTCTCAGACTTCATCCTTTTGCTTATTTTACTCCATTGCCAGATTGTTTGTAGGATTCGTTGCCATGGAAAGTTTCTGTTTTACTCCACATAACAGTTTTTCCTTGAAACGCAGCCTCTGCTTCCAGCTGGCTGCGATCGTCTGCAGGGTTTTCACCTAAGTCCCTCTGACGTCCGCAGCGCACAATTTAAATCAAACAATCTGTCTCTGTTCAGGGCTGGAAAAAGTTTTGGTCTCTTCCTGACGCTCGTTCCCAGTCTTTTACTGGCTGCTGCCCACTTTCTCCCACCCTATGTGTATGACTCATTCTCTCCTCCTCTTTTCTCCCCTTTCTTATCCTCCTCCTCAAAATAACCCTCAATAAGACTCTCCATCACATAACGGACTCTTTCAAATCGTCCTGTTTTTCAGGAGGGGTGTAGGCGACTGCGGCTTACGCTGCACGACCAGAGAGAGGCAAACCGGAGCGCAGAGCAGAACCGTGATAAGGTAAGAAATTTGTAATTGTCTGTGTAACATACAGTATAGGAAAAATAAACAAAAAGCATGGTTGGAGTGCTGATGAGAAATGCTGCAGATAAACTAGGAGTGATTGGTGATTGTGGTTTAAGACCTGAGCTCTGATGGACACAAAGCCAAGTTAGGTCAATGGTTTTATATTTTAATAAAGTACTGATCCATATCCCTGTATTCATATTACAAACACTTACTGTAGTGGATTGGCTTCGATATAAATGTGCTGAAAGGCATTAAAATTAGACGTAACCATGTGGCTTTATAAAAAAGTTTAAGGTATGAATCATTGGCTTTAAGGGAGATCAAATTAATTTACCATCTTGGGGTTCATGTCCCGGTAAAATGGATCCAGCTATACTGATTATCATGCTATTATACTCATACAGCTTTTATCCTCCTTTACCTTCCGCTTTCATTGGTTTTAATGTTGAAGTTGACTCATTATTTACTTAAAAAGGGCGGGCTCAGTTTTGTGTGATCAGTCCACCTTTATTCTAGGGTTTAATCAGAGTGGAAAAATAAATACAGAATATGTTTCATACATTTCTATATGTGTAGAATTATTTACATCCAAGTCAAAACATGAATCATGAAATCCATTTAAAACATGAATGAATAAGGGAGGAAGATCATGAGTTGCATATTTTGAACCTTATGCCTTACAGTTCTTGATGATTCTGAGGAATTAGCTCAGTCAGTTTAATGTGTCATTCTAGCACACCAGCTTTTGATATTTCTCATAATCACGTCACAGCAAACATTATTTTTTATTGGAGTTCTTCACACGCAGTCTGCTTGTCTTAGAGCAAGTTTTGCTCCAACAGACCCAAGGGGGCGTCCACAGCAGTGAGGTTACGTAACATTCCTGGTCTCTCTCTCTGTCTCCCTCTGTGCTCATGGTCTGGTGTCCACCCATTCCCTGGTCTGTAGCAGATGTTTATGGGCTGGTCTCCATAGAGATTTCTCCCAACAGCTCTGTCCTCCTTAAAATGCAGGATGACACTTATCAGGTCGTTTGCTAATGAGGGGACAGTATGTTCCCCTTCTTCTACCAGTTAACAGTTTAATTACATCACGGATGCCGACATTCCAGACCGATGTTTCATAAGGATTATTTTAACTCCTTCAAATCCTGTGTTGCAATGTTGATGATAAACAGCTCCTCTTGGATCAGGCTCAGATTTCACAGATTTTGAAAAACATTGCCGCTTTTAACCTCCTCTTGCTTGCCTCCTCTTTAGCCGATTGGACGAGCTTACGCACTGGTCCAGCCGGCCAGCGACAGGACAGCTTCGTACCCGGAACCGGTGAAGTCGAAACGAGAGGAGCAGGTGGAGATCATTAAGGTGTGTGTCACAGATATGGATGTCTGGTGTGTGGGAAGGTGTTTGACTAGACGCTGGCGTCTGATATCGATGTGCCTCTTTGTTGCCAGGTTTATCTGGAGGCCCGCAGACAAGAACAGCAGAAAGAACAGGAGAACCTGAAGATGCTGTCAGATGAAGTTTCACAGATACAGGAGGTTAGTGAGTGAACCATGTTTGTCCATAACTGGTTTATAACAATGACGCTGCTGTCCTCCAGCATTTTTCCTGGATTCTGCAGCCTTTTGCATATTTGGATCATTTAAATAACCCATCTGCCACACATGCTGCTTTCTTCTTCCTAGTTTTATCTCAACTCCATAATTTCCTGCTGAGATAAAAATGGCAGAAGTTAAAATATCCATATAGAGGAAAAAATTTAAATGTCAGAAACAAATGAGGGATGCAACAAAATATGCCTGTTGAAGTGTCAATTGTTTGTGTATCTTTAATTTTCTCCTTTCCACCTGAACTTCACTGCATTTCATAGTTTTATACTGCACCTGATAAGGTCCAGTTAGATTTGAAATGGATCTGTGTGTGTCGTAAAATAAAATAAAAATAAAAAAATGCATTTTTTTCTTTTTAGGAGCTTCAATAATAAAAAAAAATCTTTTTTTTAGTCTTAATTACCTGTGAGGTTGTATATTTTATTCTGTAATATTAGATAGATTGTATGATGAAATGTTATTCATTACAATATATTATGATATTATGACAATATTACAGTATTGGCCAATATGTGCATGCATTGGCAGATTCGTTTGGGCATTCAGCAGCCATTCCTGTAGTGCATGTGAAGTGCATGCATTGTGTTTTTTTTGTTTTTTTTAATTAAGACTTGTTTAACAAATTTTTATCATTTTATAATGTAAATGTAGGAAGTGAAAGTTTTATCGGCTCCAGGAATCGGCCCAAGTATAGCTGCAGAACATATCAGCAGTTAGGCTAATGTCAAAATATTCAGCATCTGCCTTAAAAGACCTGTATCAGTCAATCTCTAATCTTAGTCCTGAATATACTCACAAATGGTATAATAGGAGTATATTATAATGTGTAACATCCACTTTTAGAATGTACTCTTAATTGTTGCTAATAAATAATGAAATTGAATCATTTGAAATGCTGCAGAGCTACAGTAGGTCTTAGAATCAGAATGGGATTTAATGAATTCATGTTTGTTGCAGGTGAGATACTGTCTGAAGAACCTGAGGGAGCAGATGGCAGCCAAAAACAAGGTAGCACAACTTTGCTTTGCACTGGCCTTCATCTCATCCTGTGTGCTTCATGGAATTTCCTTTCAACTCAATTATCATTCCTGCCATGGTCCTTTCTTTCCCTGCTGACTTCCTCTTTTTCTTTCTCCAGCCGCAGACAAACGGGTGGAAGGTCGGCATCCCGTTCAGAAAGAATGGAATGTCTGCTTCCAAAAGTGGATCCAAAGCTGATGGACAGGTGAGCGGATGAACTCATAAACTGAGTTCTCACAGGTGTGAGAAGCATCAACATGATGCTTCTCACACCTGTGAGACTTTCAGTGAATGTACTGAATCTTGTTTTTTAGCCTCAGTTCATAGAACATAGTGTGAGGCAGTCCCTCCCAGAGGCACAAACAGAGAGGGTATACGGGGAAAAGAGCAGAACAAAATGTCGCGAAAGCGTAAATGTTCCCTATATTTCCCCAGGGTGTGTGGGAAAAAAAATAAAAATTACAGTTGGAGCACGCTCTGTTCCTCCCATGTGTTTGTTTTCATCCGTTCTTCATTCCACAGATGCTTCAAACTAAAATAGTTTTGCTGCTGGGTCTTTGGGCCACACGTTTCTTCACCTCCACAACTGTCTGCATGCCATTAACGCCCTGTAGTCAACGATCAAAACAAGGCTCCTTTTGTTTACATTCAAGTTACAGTAGTATCTGAGCCACACCTCAGCCCCATCTCACACCTTACATGTTCAGAAACTAGAGGCCAGCTCCCGCCAGCTAAATGTTCCAGTGACGCGGGCGGACACGCCCGCTTTCTTTATGACAGACAGGCTCTCTGGGGTTGGACGAAACAAAAGCAGTTTTTATTAGGTTATCATAAAAACATGTGTCCCAGTGTAATGCAGCAAAGTTAAATAGTTTGTTGTTTATCTACAGGATGCAGATGAGGAAGCAGAGAGAGAGAAGCTGAGAGAGGTCAGCAAGCGTTTGTTTGCACAGCTGCAGGAGACGGAAAAGAAGCACCAGGAGGAGAGAGAGAGACTGCAGGTGATGCATAGCCACAGAGGTTACATCTCCTCATTATTAGTGCTGTCATCTAAAAAAGTTTAACTCTTTATTTAGGCTGAAGGCAGCAGGCTTAGAGAGTGTCTGAACGACAAGGAGGAGAAGCTGAGGGTTAAAGAAGAAGAAGTCGAGAAGAGAGACGAGCGCATTGAAGACCTGCAGAGGCTGCTGGGAGGGATGGAGCAGGAGAGCGCCGCCCTGAGGGAGACCATCCGCAGCCGCGAGGATGAACTACGCGAGCTGAGGAAGATCAGAGAAGAGGGCCACCAGGGGGAGCAGAGGTCAGCTTACAAACCTACACAGTGAAATACTCAAGTACTCTTAATCCAGTTTGACATTTTGTCAGGTTTTCAGCCTCAAATCCCAGAGTATTTTAAAGGGATTTTATTTTTCAGCTGAACTAAAAGTATATAATTGTTAAAAAAAATGGAAAGAATGTTTTTCAAACCTTTTCACCAACTTAAATTAAAAACCCTGCTTTTGTTTTCTGGCCATCTTACTCTGATTTTCTTAAATAAAATCTACGTGCCTTCAGTAGTCAGAGAGTTGTCCTACTGCAGGGTCTGAGGCCTTTTATGGCCCCTTACAGGTTTCTGGATGGCCTTGTCTTTATATTCAGTTTTCTCCTCATCACCTCTGAACCTTTTCCATTTTTTTAAACCATGATTATATCAGTGACATCCAAGTATAGAGGGCTTGAGTGGTACAAATACTTATTCACTGTTGCCTAAAAAGCACAGCATGCCTTAACAATCTGTGTGTATTTTTAGGGCTGAGCAGTTGGAGAAGGAGGTGGCTATTCTCAAAGAAAAAATTCACCATCTGGATGACATGCTGAAAAGCCAACAGAGGAAAGTCAGACACATGATTGAGCAGGTGAGAAACACAAACGCCAGACTCATTCTACCCATGCTCATATTTATGCAGGGTTTGCTGACTGTTTGGATTCTATGTTTGCTCGTCTTTAGCTCCAGAACTCTCGCATGGTGATCCAGGAGCGGGACCGCGTGATCAGAGAGCTGGAGGAGAAAGTGGCTTTCTTAGAGGCTGAGGTGAGAGCTCCTTCTGGTTTCTTCTCTGGAATATAAGCAAGAGCCAGTTTTATCTGGAAAGAGAAAATGCACTGCTTGGTGATACTGTAAATAACCTCTGAACCCTTTTGTTTGTGCAGAATCGAGAGATGCGTGACCAGATGGACTACTTCCTGGGAGGGCAAAGGTCAAACTCATATCTCTCATCAGAGCGCAACCCACAGATAATCTACAGGTAGCCTATTTTGTTCTGTATGTCTCCTTCTAAAGATTTAACTGACCAAACAAAATCACTCAAATAAATTCATCTTACTGTTGCAGCATAAGCTAACATTAGGAATGTGGTGAAAATAAAAAATTTTATTTTATCAGTGGGAAAACAAATTCCCCCCTTGGAAACATTTTTACGTAATGACAATTAAAACAATTCATTTTGACTACTAATTAAAAACATTTAGCCTTTTTACAATGAAAACATATAAATTTCATTTTGAATATAAAAGTCATAAATTAATGGAAAAAAGAAAAGATGTGTTAAATACATCTGACTATTAGTTCATGACTTCTTGGTTCCCATGGCTTTAGATTTAATGTGCCAATAACCATTTTTATAGGCCCTTTTTCACATTAATAATGATAAAACAAGCAGCATTGAAATACTGCAGATGTGTGTCAATCTCTAGAAGTCAGAAAGCGCAACAAGAAAGATACTTGGCTAACCTTGGGCATACTGCGGTATGTTTTTCCTTTTAAAATTCGCCAGAATCTTAGAATGCGGTTCCTTGTTTGGGATTTTACATTTCTCTACTATTATTCCTGAAATACCATTCAGTCAAGAGGAAGTCGTTACTCTGAAAAAAAAGTCAGATTACTGTTTACTAAAGCGGACAAAGACTAAGTCTGTCATTTCTTCTTTTTTGGAGTATCCAAAATTTGCAATGGAATTGTCTGCGTCGAGTAGAGAGCATTGTGAAAGTTGCTAAAACCTTTAAGGCACTAATGTAAAATGACACTAAATTAGAATTAGTTGAAATGATTATTTAGAAATTTAAAAAAAAACATGGTGGAAGATAATGTGGAGAGCAGTCTTTATTTTTTAACAATCTTGAAAAGATTAAGTTTTTAAGGTTGGGAAAGATTGCTAGATCCATGTTTACTTCCGTAAACATAGAGCATGCTTGCTTGAGGCATCATTGCGTCCTCTACTGTGCATGCGGAATACTTGCGTTGTATGAATGCAGTTCTCACACGAGATCACATACAAGTCGCATATATTTGGAAATGTGAACGGCAACGCAAAAAAAATCTGACTTCACAAAAAAATCGGAATTAAGCATTAAGGCCTGCAGTGTGAACGTAGCCTTAGAGTCACCATCACAAAGACCTGATATCAGTCAGGAGGAAGGGGTTGAATTCCTCCATAGCTTGAGAAAAACATTCCAAAGGATTTGACCCAATTTCCTGAAATACTAATAAAATGTTTGTTGATTTGAAATCTGAGTTGAAATCTTAAAAAGCCTTTTCTTCTTAATCTGGCACAAAACAAATAATGATAATCCTGATAATCCAAACTGACCAAAAGGAAGTCAGATTTGTCTTAATTTAATGTCAAACACTGAGCAAAAATGTATTTCTATTTATTTTAGGTTGTATGATTCATTCCTGCTTTCCTTTACTATGGAGGTAATCAAATTCTGTTCCTCTTCTTGTTGCAGTAAACCCCTGAAGCCATCATCGTCCTCTAACAAGCCACTCCCCTTTATCAAAGTCATCGAGATCAAGTCATGAAGCAACAGAAGAACCAGAACCTGCAGGCTTTTTTCAGACTGAACTCAGACAGCAGCTCTGTTGACGACATCTTCAAATGAATTAACATAGGGAGGATCTGAGCTGAACTTTCTCAAACTGTAACACCTTTGCTATAGCTGCATTTGAACTAAACCTCTTTTGAAGGAACTGAGGAGTGATTAGCAGCACCCACTGGGTATTTGACTAATGACTGTATGTAAGTCGGCTTTAATGTAGATGCAATAGAGACTCAGACGTACATTATGTGTTTGCTTTTAGTTTGAGCGAACGCTCTGCTTGTTCCGCCCCATTCCAATATTTTTATCCCGCAAATGAACTTTGAGTTTATAGGGTTGACTGTGCAGTTTGTTCTTCTTCCTGACCACATCACGAGGCTGTAATAAAGAAATGTAGCATCTATGTTTTGTTGCTTTCCAAACTGTCCTGATAGATCATGTTAGAATCCTTGACTTACTCTAAACTGTCAGTCATCTTTGGCTCTGTTCACTTCTATGTGTGAATATATGGTTGTTTCAGAAAAACAAAGCTATATTTAAAGAGAAATTTATAAAAATCGGATTACTATTTGGGCTTTCACATTGTATAATCTATTTTTTATAAATGTTTTACTCCCCCAGAAACCGAAGGGCACTTTATAAAGCTGTGAGGACAGAAGGAAAACTGAAGTTTTTATTTTTATTTTCAGCATCATCATCATTCCTCTAAATACATTGTGCATTTCACTTCCATGTCATTGTCTGAATCCTCACATTCTTTATGTACATATTTCAGTGAATGTAATTAGACTTTCTGCTTTGTATTTATTTATGCTAAAATAACAACTGTTTGATAGAAGAGCTTTTGTATAAAGTATGAGTCCTGATCTGTTTTCTCTCTGATTTTGAGAATAAACACCTTAAACAGAAACTCATCTATAGGTCCATGTCTTATCATTTTAGAGGGTGACAGCAAATATTTCATAATATCTGTGTAAGACGGATCATGGTTTAAAAACCTGTAAACACATCCTGCAGCAATAGAAAAACAAAACAAGGTTTTAGCTTTTGGTGGAAACTAAACAAAATATTCTGATGAAAATATTTAAATTCCTTGAAGATACATTTCAACCTTTTTTCATTACAGTGAAACTGGTGGATTACATTGTTAAGGGCGCCCTCTGCTGGATAACTTTTGCCATTACAAACCTGCACACGTGCAATGGATTTGCAGGTTTAAAATGTTTATGCACATAAAGTCCATGCAGATGCTTTGAAACATGTAGATAGAATTAAACAAATAAATCCATTGATATTAGTAAGATGGGAATCTGCAACAGGTTTCAGGTTTTTACTGCAAAAGTATAACCATTAAATGTTAACATTTTGATATAGGGTGCTTTTTTTCAGCTACTTTATTATCTGTATCTTAAAAAAAATAATATTGTGATTTGACTAAGGGCCCATTATCCTGGATCCATTTTATATTCATTCTTCTGTTAAAATATCATTGGTAATGTGGTATTTAAGATTATTTCGGCTGCTATGTATTTTACAATTTTTAGATAATGTATATGAGGTATAAAAATGATATAGTAACATTAGCTATCAAAAGAAAAAAATGTTTAAACACCCCTCTTGATAATACATTTTAAGAAAATAAATATAAACATATATAAATATCTAATGTATACATATATAAACATATGTATTTGTTTTTTTTCACTTTTGCTATGTTTGAGGCTTCATTTTATAGTTATAGTACAGAAAACCATTAATAACACTACAAATATATCAGATTAAAACATTGCATTGTTCCCTTAACTAAATCTCTCCTATTAAATACATTACTTATAATAATGTTGATTCTTTCACTTAATATTAAAATCTCTTAAATTTCTTACCATTACGAGGTTCTGTATGTTTCAGAGATAAAACTGCTTTAAAATTGTGCTTTCCTTTTATTTTTTTTTTAGGATTTAAATGTTTTTTTGATAATAAAAAAACAAAAACAAAAAAAACATGTAATGAACTTTATTGTTCTACACTAAAAGGAGATGACAAGAGACTGGCATTTCAAAGTTTACAATGTTTAGTTTTAAAATCAACATCATGACCTGTTTTTTGCATGGAAACATAAATCATAAACAACACAGGAAACTGAAAAAATATAACAATCAGGCATTAAACACTTTAAATACAAAATAAAACTGATGCCTCTCAGATATCAGCAGGCTTAGTGTGACTAAAGAAACAGTCTTCCCCTGAGGTTGTACCTCTAATCCAACACATATATATATAATCTAAAATACTGCTCCGTGAAATAACTGATTAAAAAAAGGCACTTAATTAAATTCCTGAAGAGAATTATGGCTGTAAGATGAGGCTCAAAGGAAATAAATCCATGGCTCAAAGTAAAAACATGAGAACGTAAACAAAAGTAAACATTAATGACATAAACAGAGCTATCTTTTGTTATTAAAAAAAAATAATGCACACGCTAGTTTATAACTATTAACTCTTATTTTCTACACACAGGTGGTTAAATTGAACATCTCTGCATAGGTGTTTACATTGTGCAATAAATACTGATTGTCCTATGCTGCATAAACATTTCAATAGGTGTTTTTCTTTTGGTCAAATCAACCCTACTTACTAACAGCTATTTTTATTTGAATGTTGCACTTATTCATGCAATAATACACTTAGGCAACGAGCAATAGATGTGCAGCATTCTGCAGTGCATGTTATATAAAGGCAGTGTGTTTTCAGCTTAATCTTATACCGTCAGGTGACAGTGAGTGAGGCACTAGGATTACAGGCAGTAGTATTTATCTTTGACCTTTTCTTTTGTTCAGACGTGTAAATATATCAGAGCGTGCTGTCCAGTGTGTTGTAGTTGTCTTTGAAGTTCTTCAGCTCCAGAAAGTGTCTGGGCCTCTTGTTGCACTGCAGCCCTGTAAATGTGAGGTAGGTGTTTTGGGTGGTGGAGGAGCAGCAGGAGGAGGAGGAGGGGCTGGTGGTGGCAGTCAGGTCTTTGGCTGCAGACTGGTGGTGTTGGCTCGGCGTGCCGCCGCGAGACTTCACGCTGAAACAACAGGAAAGGAAAGCAGATTTTTTTACTGCGCAATCCACATTCCTCATTGGGATTACCCATGAGACCAAAAAAATGAAAAATGAAAAAAGAGTGTAGTGGGGAGAGATGGAGTTTTCTCACATAGCGGCCAGCTCAGTCAGAGCCTCCTGGTACTTGATAAACTCTGCTTCTCCAAAAGCCTGAAAACACAAACAGGGACAGCATAAAAAAAAACTGAATCCAAAATTCTCCCCACACAATAAAACCTCCAAAACTGTTATGCTTTAGAAATTCAAACCCTTAATATGTCAGATTATGCTAGCGCAATAGAAGATCAATCTATTTTAAGGTGTTCATCTTTACTCCAAACCTAAACAAAAATACGTATCATGGGCACCTTGAGGGATTTGCAATGTTTCATAGTTTCTAAAGATCAACAGATAATGAAAACATTTGGGAAATGAAATATTGTGTCTATCAGCAAAAAGCACGTAAACATACAACAATCAACATCCCACCTGATAAAAGTTGAGTGTTTATATCAGGGAAAAGGCATTCCTGATGGGAGATTGCGCCAAACTTGGGAGGTCACTTTCAAAAAGATGAGATCACTACACTAAATCTATTTCTATGATTCCAAACAAACCATTTCTGCTAGCTTCAATCTTTTTTTTTTATTTACTTTTATTGTCATAACACTGTCACAAGTACAGAGCAACGAAATTAACTCTGCATTTAACCCATCCCCTTGGGGAGCAGTGGGCTGCCATTGTGCGACACCCAGGGAGCAGTGTGAGATTAAGGGTCTTGCTCAGGGACCCAGAGTAGCAGTCCATGGGAGTGAGTGGGACTTGAACCCAGAACGTCTGAGACCCATGCTCAATGCTCTAACCCAGTGGTCTCCGACCCTGGTCCTCAAGATCTACTGTCCTACAGATTTTAGATGCATCCCTGCTTCAACACAGCTGAATCAAATGATTGATTACCTTTTCAAGCAATTCATTTGATTCAGCTGTGTTGAAGCAGGGATGCATCTAAAATCTGTAGGACAGTAGATCTTGAGGACCAGGGTCGGAGACCACTGCTCTAACCACTAGGCCACCGCTCCTCTTTTAAGGATTATTTTTGATATAGGAAATATTTTTACATCAGATATATTTATTCATACTAACATAGAAATTTACTGCCTCACAATAAGTGATGAAACCACTTTGAAAGTGACATGTTGTATGAGAGAAGCTGCTGACCTCGGCCCCATGGCGCGCTCTGTTGTAGCCATCTAACACCCTGTCAATCGGAGAGTTCTGCTTGTCTCTCAGCTCGCTGTGGGAATTACGCAGCTGCAACAGCCAGGTTCGAAATCTTTTCCCAGTAACAGCTGTGGAGGCGCCACCCAGTTCACGGAAAGGCAAATCTAAAGGAAGCAATGTGAAGATGTGAAGATGGCAGATTTGAAGAATTAAAATTTAATTACAGAATTAAAAAAAAACAGATTACCAGTGTCCCGGACAGCATCTAGAGCTTTCATCCTGTACAGGTAGTCATCAGAACCTACAACAAACACCATAGAGAAACCTTTTTTATCATTGGGACCATTCCTGATGCTTTACAAGCTCTGCATGCATCACTAACCAGACTGTTGCCTCTGGGTTAGACGGTCATCGGCTGGGGACAACAAACGAGGCTCAAAGTGGATCTTTTGGACCTGACACAGTTTGGCTTCTATTAATTGTTTCAATTCCTGCAAGACCAAAACAACACATTAAAATGATTGATGAACAACTGAAATACCCTGCAGGATCAGATCTGTGATGAGCCTGTTCTACCTTAGGAGCATTGTGGCCAATGGGAACGTGAGGGCCTCTCCGAGACTTTATGGCAATACGCATTATTTGTCTTTTTACAAAGATGAAAAGCAAAACAAACACCTGAAAACAAGATAGAGAGAAAATATTTTTTTTAAACCTCACATGAATTCACTGGGAAATAAAATTATAAGACAGAACAATAAAACTATCTGGTGGAACAAAGAAAGTCTGGAGTTTCTGTTCAGGATGCGAGCAACAGATTATTTCTGGCGGTCTACAGTCTTTTTTCAAAATAACCTTTTTTTGGTACAAACATGCACAGTGAAAAAAAGGAAAGACGTTATAACACATTTAGTTAAAACTGTTAAATTATTTCTCTTTCTTTAACTACAGATGTTGTAGTCAATTTTTTGTTTTTAAAAAATGTTTTCCCATCAGGTAGTTTATTTAAATTGAGTCATACAAAAAAAATATTAAAATAAAAAATGGGACCTTGATTTACCTCCCTTTGATTCTATCAAAAAAATAAATAAATAAATAAATAAATAATACATAGCTATATATATATATATATATATATATATATATATATATATAT